AAAAATAGAATAAGTTAAAAAAGAAATATTATAAAACAAAAAAAAATATTTTAGAAGAAAATATAAACACTATAATAAAAAATCATTAGATAAAAAACGATGTAAATGTTGGAATTGTAATGAAGAAGGACATATAGGCACTGAATGCCCAAAAAAGAAAGTTATAGTACTAATTATAGATTTTGAACAAATTAGAGATGAATGTGAAGAAGTCAACTTTGAAGAAATAGAAACTGATGAAGAGATTTTTGAAGAAAAATCAGATTCGGATGAAATATATAGTGAAGAAGAATAGAAATAGAAAAAATAAAACTATTTTAAAGTTTGGGGACTAATTTTATAATAAAAGATCTATTTCATTAAGGGTAAAATTGACTTTTTAACAAAAACTTTAAATATTAAATGTTGAAGGACCATTTTTAATAATCCCCCTAAAAATAGTAATTTTTGCAGTAAAATGTTGAAATGATGTTAAGAATGTCAAAAAATAGTGATTTTTGTAGTAAAAGGTCAAAAAAATTACACAACCCACCCCTCCTCCCATGTGCGAGTATTCTGTACGGGTACATGCAGCTGGGTTCCACTTCCATAATAATACTTGCGCGCACATGCACAAAGACCCACTTTTTTTTTTCTCTGCACTCTCTTCTTCGTCCCCTCCCTCCACTCAATTCCTCCAACTCCAACTCTACCTCCACCTCCACCTCCCAGAACCACCACTTGTTAAGGTGGGCTACAATTTCGTGATATTATCTCTCAATCAGATTCTGTGAAAAAATCAAAGATGGCTTATGCTGCTGTATTATCTCTTGATCAGATTCTGGAGCATTTATCAAATCCTCGTCGTCTCGAACAACATCAGACTCCTCTTCAGGACCAACAAATTAAATCTCTCCAGGAAAATTTGAAATTCTTACTAGATTTTCTGGATGATTCTTGGCGGAGAAGGAACGAGGAACTACGATGTTTGGAAAGGGAAATTCGAGATGAAGCGTGCAAAGCTGCAGATATCATCGAATCACATGTATTAAAAAATTTTGGTCAGGAAGAGTTTCATGAAAGACAGATCAGAGACCAAACTTTTTGTGAAAACTTCGCGATCGTAGCAGATGAAATTGATTCGATTAAGACGAAGGCTGCCAAGCTTAAGCTTAACACCCCGCGTTGTCTAGACGGCCATAGCCAGAGGACTTCTTTGCCAACTGGACAATCAAGACTTCCTTCAATCGGCAAGAATCATATGGTCGGGTTTCGTAATGATCTGATGGCAATAATGGATCGACTTACTGGATATCCACGTGCTCTTCAATTCATCCAAGTTACTGGCATGGGAGGCAGTGGCAAGACAACTCTTGCTAGAAATGCTTACAATGATCCACTTCTTGAACACCATTTCCACACTTGTGCCTGGGTATCAATTTCTCAAGAATATCGTGAGCGAGAAGTCTTGCTGAGCCTTCTGGATTCCATGGGACAACTCAGTGCTGAAATGCGTCAAGAGAATGATACTGGAAAATTAAAAGAAAAACTATATAAAAGTTTAAAAGGTCGGAGGAATCTTGTTGTGATGGATGACGTTTGGACTACAGAGCCTAGGGATTCTTTGAGATGAATATTTCCGGACGATGGGATT